TTTATCTTAAATTATTATAACATTATTATTATTAGATAACTAATATATATTAAATAATGATAATTCTTTTATAGGTTATTCAATATTTATTTTTATTATCATCAACAGATAAAGATTATTTAAATCTATCTTTAATTAACCTTTTAATAATTAGTAATTATTTACTAAAGTCATCTTCAAGAAAAGTATTTATAAAATTTGTACTTGATTCTATATTATTTTCATTACTTATTTTATTATCTTTTTATTAATTATATTATTTTCTTCATTTTTTGATCTATTATTTTCTATATTATCTTTATTTTTTGATCTATTACTTTTTATTTATTTATTTATTTATTTATTAAGATGCTCTTTTTGGTTTTTTGACTTTTATTAATAATTTTTTTGATGATATGATCCTATGAACTACTACAAAAGAAAGTACAAATGGTTATATGTATAACTTTTCTATATTATCTATTTAAGAAGTTTACCTGTAGGTTTTCTACTGATTGCTGTATCTAACACTATTGCTTAGATGTTTCACTTTAAATTCTCTAAACCTAAAAACTGTATTAACTTACTAGATTATACTCAGATATTGAACTTATTATCTCAATCTTAAGACTAATTTATTCTTAACTTAAACCCTTCAGAACCTTCTGTATTCATTTTTACAATTAATCTAGATAATGCTATGACAGAACTAATATTTACAGTCAGAGTTATATTATTTAACTATTATGTTTTTGTAGAGTTTACATAAACTCCAGCATCTACTTTATAATATAACCCTAGTATTTTAGTATATTCTTGCCTTTTTGCCTATTTTTTTATCAGATTTCCAATTCAAATAGTTTACAACCAGTCCATCAGTATTTCAAATTAATCTGATATTCTTTTCTTTTAGTTCATTTTGATGGTTTAGTTAGCAGTAGAGGCCTGCATTAGGTTCCACAACCTAGCCCACAAATTTTTGCAAGCTGGGCCAGGTCTGAAGCAAAATTTTATAATTACAAGCTGGACTGGACTAAAAAATTTACAAAACATTATAATTTTGAGCCAATACAGGTCTAAAATTTTGTAAAATTATATAAAAATTTTTGTGAACTAAGCTGAGCTGAAGAAAAAATTAATATATGCAGACTGAGCTGGACTAGCAAAAAAATAGTAACTCTAAATGTAGGCTAGGCTGAACTGAAAAAAAATTTTAACCCTAAATGTGTGTCAGGTTAGGCCACAAAAATAAGCAATTCACAAGCCTCTAGTAGTAGTTTTCTGAGATTTCCAATTCAGAGGTTCTTGCTTATTTAACTACTACATTTAGATACTATAATCTTAGTATTTGTTTTCTCAGACTAGCCTTTATAGTAGGAATGTCAAAAATCTAATTATCTCTCTATTTGAATTTTCTTATATGAATGTCTTATTATTTAATTTCAACAGATTTATAAACTACAAGAACTTATCTAGTATTTGTACTACCTGATTTGTTAGTTTGTATTTTTCTGTATAACAAGTTACACAAATGCCCCATAACCTGCCAGTCATGCTGATATGACTACTATTATAAGTTTTCTAATTCAATTGTTAGTAACAGAATTCAAAACAAGTTCAATATGTAGTTTGTTGAAAAATCTATTTCAAAATACAATAATTACTTCAAAAATTACTACTAACAGACCATGCCCAAGAGTTAAAATAACATCTTGATAGAAAAACCAAGTATTGCATAAAACATAATGTAAATAGCAGTATAACTCATCAAAAAAAACCTCAGGTTGATGTAAAATATTATTTTTGTCTTCTAAATTAACAAACTGAAAATCAAGATAATGACAACATAATGCAATATTATTAGGTAATTTATGAAGAATGTTTCTTCATTCTCTTTAATCAAAATAATAACCCAAAAGATGCAATAGCTGAAGAAGTTTCTATTTAGAAAATAAATACCTATATTCAAAAAGAAACTAGTAAAGAATAAGTACAAAAAGTTGTTCATCCATTTATTAATATCTAAAATTTTTATGTGCAGTAATTCTAATACATTTTGACTAGGTTGAAATTTAGATCACCCAAGAGTTCTATGGGATGTAAATGTATCATCATTATATATGTTCCAGTTTGCTACCACACCCCAACTGTTCTCTTAGAAACACCTAATGCTTCAGCAACTCTCTTGTATAATGTCAGCTTTTGATGAGCATTTTTGCAGAATTAATCCCAGAAAGGTAATTGTAAACATTAATAACCATTAACTTCTCATTTTCAGTTAATGGTGCACCATTTCTTTTTAAGAAAGAAGAAGGCATTGTAAAGGGAAATGATCAACACTGCAGATAGGTTTGGTTAGATTCTACTATATATATAAATTTTAAGCTGACATCATAATTACATGACTTTTTTTTTTCTCTATAAATCACATCATTTTTTAATAAGGTGCAAATCTTTTTGCACTGGACCATACTCTTGAATTGTGTTGATCTAGGAAGTTGCACGAAGCAACAGAGAAGAATACCCATAATTGTATTTCATTGTATTTATTGCTGATAATACCTCCTTGATTAGAGACAAAAAATTACATGTAATTTGTATGAAACGTGATCATTCTATCATATAATTCAATATGATGCTTTGATAATATACACATCGATTTGATTAGTAAACTTCATGCAAAATCTATCGAAGTTCAATAACGACAGCTAAATTTTTCATAGTGCTGACACTATATATCACACGTGTCAAATGTGTTTTTATGAATCCTGCACAAGATTTTTTGGAGAAACCGCGATTTGCTCATCTCTATTTTAAACCATTTTCGGCACCTATCACTATATATTTTGAATTATCGATTTGTGCATTCACATAAATTATTTTATTAGTGTGATTTAGTGCATTAAATCCGGAGAACCCTTATTAAATTGAAAATTTAAACTAACCATTAAGGTTCATATATAATTTCATTGATTTGTATTAATTTAAGTGCGTAATATTTATAATTTAAGTAGTTAATAGCTAGTAAATTTATAAATACTTGTCATTTTTTATTCACTTAATTGCTTAATTGGTAAGCATAAAAGTTATTTTACATTCAAATTTAATGCTTGAATAAGTAAGAAGATTTCTATGATAAAAATTATTAATTCGCATATCAGGCATTTACTTATTACAGTCGCAAAATTGTAACTGGTTATAATGCTCGTAAATTATTATTTGTTATGGCAAAAATGCCATAACTCCCATGTGCAGTTGTCTTGGGTATTATAACTAATTTTATATATGTACATGGATGTTTTATTATAAAATTTATTTGTGCTATAATTTTTACATATGGGGGCCCTCACCGCAAAAAGAGACATTGGGCCATTTTAAATTTCACTATTTAAATAAGTATATCCGTGATCTAGTGATTTGAATTAAATCATTTTTATATTATTTAATTCTTCTTAATGAGATAAATTAAATAATATAAAAATCATTTAATTCTAATCACTAGATCATGAGAAATACTTATTTAAATAGTGAAATTTAAAATGGCCCAATGCCTCTTTTTGCTGTGAGGGTTCCCATATATAAATTCCGTAAAATATGCGTTTAATAATTTATTACAATATTTAATTATTCTATCTTCTTATTAAACATTCGAGCTACTAAATTGCCAAATTATAACTATGATTTACTAAATTTAACCGTTGTACTATGTTAATTAAAATCTTGTCTTGTTCGATAAATAATTTATTTGCTTTTTTTTATAATCAAATATTCGTTTGAAGGTTGAGAAATTTCTTTAAACATACAGCTTGTGATGATGGCTGGATAAACTATATCTTAATGAAAGTTCTGATAGTTGTTTTTTGTGCATCAATACTAAGCTACAATTTTAAATAGTTAAATTATTAAAGGTTTTCATTGTAATGAATAAGTTTGTATTTATAATAATGATTCTTTCATGGCGTAATATGATATAGGCTATTTATTTCAAGTCGACGAAAAGTCAACAGATCGAAAAGATAACTAAGCAGGCGAATCAGTTTCCTATTTTCGTACGTGCTAACAAAAATAATCAATGACAGATTGAATATAAAATAGATGGCAATACCAAATATAAGAGCTGAGACGAAGATGATTTTCATTAATTAATTTTTCATTAATAAAATGGTGTAAAGTTACACTATTTAAATAAAGTTACGCCATTGATTAAAGTTAAGTAACTAATTATTACTGAATAAGAGGCTCATACGTAAATTGTAAAACATTCTTTGGGACAATTCTACTGCATAACGAGGTACACCATGACTCAATCTCGCCATCAGCCCATAAAAAGATTACTATAAAATACTTTTTTTAAACACGTAAATACTACAAAGGCAATAATAACCTAGATATGGCGGTACAAATATGTAATGTAGTCACAACCTAATAATCGGACAAATATGGCAATATTTTATTTCAGAAACCATTATTAAATTAGGAAGACAGACAAAGGTTAAAATCCCGACAAGTTGGTCCATATTAACTGTAGTTCCTGTCAATTTTTATTTTTCGGAATTCTGTTTGTCGGAATTTTCGCAAACAGCGATACATTTATTGTTATTTGATGTGATTCGAGTTTATTGGTCACACCAAAACAAATCGCATATTTTCGTGTTCTGTCAATAGGCTCCAAAATTGGTTTTTATGTTTCGTACAATCATGATAAACTTCTGGACATATCAGATATGTATATATAAGCAGTAAATTATCAAGTTTGTTAAAGGAATATTTTGAATTTTAAAAAACTTGCCATCGTATTGAGAGGTTGAGTAAGCGAGTCCTTCAATTTTTCTATTAAAATTTTCTATAAACATTGTTCATTTATTTCGACCCTTTCTTCATCAAATTCATATAATTTAATTTACAAACTTACATTTGATTAAAGATGCTTACTAGTATGATTAAATTAGAATCAGTTTTATTCTTGATTGTTATTTTGCTTAGTATAATCTGCTCAATTACCTGTGTTAAGTCGCATCAATATGAAGTTCCCACATCAATCGGAAATTATGGTAAATTCTATTGATGACACCATATTAACCCATTAATATATAATAATTATAATTTCTTTTGGTATTATAAATTAAGAGTATCCACATGACATCTATATTCCGAAAAATTTCATTATTCCGTCCGGAAATGTTTTCAAATTTAAATTATATGCTAGTGGATTTGTCTGGTACAAATGTAATAGTGTTAGTAGTAAATGGGGTCTTGGTAAGTAGATATGTACTTAATTTGATATTTATTTGATGCATCACGACTTGTAATACTTATGATGTATTATTAGATCAATTTCGCTCAGTATATTTTAACCACAAAGAGGATTTCACCAAATATCCATATACAGGTGTAGCTTTTATAGATTTTAGAGGTAAGTAATAATGTTGTTTTATTAATATTTGAAACCAGTTAACGACCATATCGACTATATACTGGTTAATTTATCAATTTGAACAGAATTAAATCTGTTTTGAATTCAATTAACATTTAATAATCGAATATCAATGAAAAATTTTGATTAAAATTGGAATATTTGTTGACAAAAAAACGTATTTAATAATGAGCATCAACATTTGGATTTTAATCATAATACTTTCATTTTCATAACGATAACTATTTAGCCACTGATATTACTATTAGATCAGCTATTCCAAAATACGATAATTCAACAATGACCCTAACTCTTAATGGTTTTCTTGAAACTCCATCATCTGATCCAACGAAAAATTATCGTTATGAATTTGTTCCGATTAAAGTAATTATAATTCTATTAAATAAACATTTCAATTATTCTTGATTAACATTTATATCAATATAAACAGAGTAACACAGGAAAAGGGGCATTTTCGGATGTTACCTATTTTATTGTGGCTGAAACTGATGGCGGTGCACCACCACCGAGTACGGAATGTATGTTAAAATAATTAAGAATAATATTATCCGTTTATTTTCAGCATTTAATTATATTGCAATTTTTAGGTGGGACCACATATCCAGATGGTTTTATCCATCCTGAATTAATTACTTACACTCTTTTATACTACCATCCTGGGACAGATCCATACATGAAAGTAGAATTGTAAATGCTATAACTTGATTAATGTCATACTGTATGAATGCATTTGCACGTTATTTTAGGACGACATGTACGATATTTCGATTCATTTTTATACCGAACATATATAGTATTTAAGTTTCTGAAATCAAAATTACATGTAATTTTTATCATATGAATAATTTTCAAAAAATTTTATAACAATGACATTTAAAATAACTAAAAATTACAATTCCGAACATAATGATAGATATCTATTAGTGCCGGCTAAACTTTTGTAATGTCGGTAAATTATCACGTGATTAGGCACTATTCAATGTTACAAGACTAGTGTTACTATTGTTGAGAGCTTTAGCGAATATTTTGTCCAATTTAATTAATTTAATTCCAATAGTAAACCGGAATGATGAGTTATTATGAGTAGGGTGATATAATACTATCAGTATAGTGGCTTGTCACGTGTAGAGATGGGCACGCGCGGGATTTTTAGTATGATCCCGAAATAAGATTATTCGGCTGGCATTACCATAATATCTGACTAGCATTACAGCTGTTCTCATAAATTTTGGAACATTTGATGAAAAATTGACCGAACGATTGTTTGGCCGATTCGATAAGTTCATGATTTCGGTAACAAGGACCGCCATCCAAAAAAGTCTCGAAAATCATGTGATATTGGCAATTCATCATGATTAGGATCATGATAACAGTATTAATTTAATATTAA